TTATCTATGGTTGAATTGATTATGTTGTTCTGATTCTTTGCGTGATTGTAGTAGTTTCCTGACCACCGATATCTCTGACTCAATGGACAGAAACTGCGCATGTGTGACTTACGATAAATCACATAATGTCCAGTCCAATAATATATCCATCAATGCTGCTGCCTCGCGCTCTGTCCTTCTCTCGCACTTCCCGCTACTTAGCAGTGGGTGTCAGGTTACATTGTGTTGCATTCAATGTTGTCGGAAAAAAAATTATTCATGCACTTAATGTCCGATTAATGTCCGATTTGCCATAATTATTTATTGAATTCATAGTCGCCAGCTGAGGTGGCAACAGGGGGGGCAACTGCCACCCCTGTTGCCACCCCAGTAGATCCGCCCCTGCTCTAAGGAAAGATAACCCCAACCTCCCTTTTTCTCCTCCAGTTGTAAAACCTTATATCCAATTCTGAGTCTTTCACCTGCCAAATATCCCTTGTCAGTTCTAGAGGTAAACTTAGAGGAGTGACATTCCATCCCGTGATATCCTATTTGATTTTATTTGTTTGGGAACGTAACTGCATTCAAATAGTTTTGAAGTGTTTTGGTGAGCTAACGCCCAGATGTTTGAGCTAAGAGTTTCTGCTTCGGATTTCCTGTGGTGGAGTATAATTGTAAGACAGCAACTGAGTTCTGTTAATATTAATTTTGTACCCTGATAATTTACCAAATTGTTTGAATAATTGTAGCAAGAGAGTAGGTCGGCTGTAAATTAATATATCGTCTGCACAACAAGCACATTTGTTCTTCCCTTTAATATTTATTCCTTTAATATCCTTGTGTTGTCTTAGCATTTGGGCTAATGGTGCTAAGTAAAGTAACCGTGTCTTGACTCTCTTTCTGAAGACTCTCTGTCAGATAAATGTCCATTAGCTTTAGTTCTCGCTGTGGGATTATTGTATAACGCCTGTATTGTTTTTATTGTTGCATCATGTCGTCCAAATTTATGTAAAACCCAAAGAGAAAATTCCAGTCGACTGAATCGAATGCCTTTTCCGCATCCATACTGATTATAATAGCTTCTATTTGTTCTTTTGTATGTGATCTATAACATGTAATGTTCTTATAATGTGTTTGACGTTTGAATCCAGTTGAATCGTTATGGATTCAGGAAGGAAAGGATTCTTCCACTTGTCTGGCCATAGAAGTGAAAAGTTGTTTATCAGTAATTATAACAGATATCGGTCGGTTTGATCCACAGTCCAGTTTATCGTGGTCCAGTTTAGAGCAGAACCAGAATCGGCTCTCTGAAATTCCTTATCAAAAGTTGCTGTAACTATCTGACATGGTTTGATCGACTCATGTTTTATTTGTTTCTCCCTGACGTCTAAAGTCATTTTTCATAGACTGTAGAGATACTTCTCCATCGTCATTAAAATCTAAACAATAGCTGATTTCTTTCAGTATTTGCTGTTTGAACCACAGGTTATTACACAAACCTGAAATTAGTTTCAATATATTATTTATTTTTGTAAGCCAAGGTCGGCTGTAAACATACAGGTGAGTGGTCGCTCACATCTGTCCATCCTGTCTCTATCTTTAGAAATGTAAAAAAACAATCAATTCTTGTGTATAAATAAATATTTGGCTGTTGAACTGGACCATTCAAAGTCACCATTAAGCTAATTTTCTTTTAGCAGCTCCACAAACCTTTCTGATAAACGTTACCAAGAGGAAACAAACCTTATCTCGTCTTTTCCCTATCCTTCCTGTTTCTCTCCTGAAGTCCTTCTTTTCGACATCGATAACTTTTCATCCTCCGCAGCGTTGGAAGTTTGGATGCTCAGTTTGCTTATGCCTTGGGTCGGCCCTGAACCAGGCTCACCACCAGAACCGCCTCATGGAGCGGTCGTTACTGGATAATATTCTGACCCACTTCTGGACTGGTTCTGGTCGGAACCAGGCTCTGGAACAGTGACTGGTTCTGACCGGTTCTGACACATTCAGTCCATGCCTGCACCGATACAGCCTCGTAGACCCGGTCCGGTCTTGTTTTATGTGTCCACTTCTTCTGGATCCGCGTGTGTGACTATCTGGGTTGGAACCGGCCGTGTTCTGATCCGCTGCCCGTCTCTCCAGGATCCGCCGGCCGTCAGAATGCAGAGCACCACCAACTACCTGTGGCTGATCTCCGACCTCCTGGGTCAAGGCGCCACGGCCAACGTCTACCGAGGACGACACAAGGTATGGTCGGTCGTGGGTCAGAACCGGTTCTGATGCAGCAGAACCCAGTCAGGCGGTTACAGCGGTGTCTCTGTGCAGAAAACGGGCGACCTGTATGCTGTCAAGGTGTTCAACAACCTGAGCTTCCTGCGGCCGCTCGACGTCCAGATGAGAGAGTTTGAGGTTCTGAAGAAGCTGAACCACAAGAACATCGTGAAGCTGTTCGCCGTGGAGGAAGAGGTGGGTCCGTTTCTGATGAGGGCTGAGGTCCAGATGTAGAAATGTTTCTGACCCAGTTCTGCTGGCAGACCAACACCCGGCACAAGGTCCTGGTGATGGAGTACTGCCCCTGCGGCAGCCTCTACACCGTCCTGGAGGAGTCCACCAACGCCTACGGCCTCCCTGAGGACGAGTTCCTCATTGTCCTCCACGACGTCGGTAAGGCCCGGATCTGGACCGAGACTACCAGGTACCGCCTCACCTGACCCGGTCTGCTGTGTCCTCCAGTGGCAGGCATGAACCACCTGAGGGAGTACGGCATTGTTCACCGCGACATCAAGCCGGGAAACATCATGAGGGTGATCGGAGAGGACGGGCGCTCCGTTTACAAGCTGACGGACTTCGGTGCCGCCCGCGAGCTGGAAGACGACGAGCAGTTCCAGTCTCTGTACGGCACCGAAGAGTACCTGGTGAGACACACACCTGGGGAGAGAATTGTGTGTTGCTGCCTGTAGCTAACCTGTCACAGTAAGTAGCTAATCTGTAGCTAACCTGGTTGTGTGTCTGCAGCACCCGGACATGTACGAGCGCGCCGTCCTGCGGAAGGACCACCAGAAGAAGTACGGCGCCACGGTGGACCTGTGGAGCATCGGCGTGACGTTCTACCACGCCGCTACCGGCAGCCTCCCGTTCCGACCGTTCGAAGGACCACGCAGGAACAAGGAAGTGATGTAAGAGCAGGTTTCCACAGCAACCAATCCCAGCAGGCCACAGGTCAGCTGATCCCGCTCTCTCCTTCTCAGGTATAAGATCATCACAGAGAAACCGTCAGGAACCATTTCTGGCCACCAGAAGAGCGAGAATGGGAAGATCGAGTGGAGCACCGAGATGCCGGTGTCCTGCAGCCTGTCCAAGTATGGATCACTCAGATTATTGATCCGGATCAGATTATCAAACACAGCTGGAACAGCTGCAGAAGTCTGTGTGGTCTAGTTAAAGTTCTGTGTCTGTAGAACAAGGATCAGCTGATCCAGAGATGGGTTGTAAAGACTAGGATCACGGGTAGCTGCAGGTCGGTGCTGCCCTCTGCAGGTAGTAGCTGGTAGCTGCAGGTCGGTGCTGCCTCCTGCAGGTCAGGCTGACCCTGGTCTTGCCCCCAGGGGCCTCCAGAGCCTGCTGACCCCGGTTCTGGCCAACATCCTGGAGGCGGATCAGGAGAAGTGTTGGGGTTTCGACCAGTTCTTTGCTGAGACCAACGATATCCTGCACCGTGCCGTGGTCTACGTCTTCAGCCTGCAGCAGGCCACGCTGCACCACATCTACATCCATGAGTACAACACGTGAGTCCAGCTCTGGTTCTGGTCCATGATCCGGGATCTGCTCCACGGCCCTGACCGTTCCTCCCACCTCCACAGGGCGGCTCTATTCCAGGACCTGCTGTGCCGCAGGACCAGCATCCCACTGCACAACCAGGAGCTTCTGTACGAGGGCCGGCGCCTCGTCCTGGACCCCAACCGCCAGGCCAAGACGTTCCCCAAGACCTCCAGGGACAACCCGATCATGGTGGTGAGCCGCGAGGTCGTCGCCACCGTCGGCCTCATCTTCGAAGACCGTAAGACCTTTTCCTGACCTCCGTCTGACCTTCATGCTAACCTTCCCACTTCATCAGCAGTTTTGTCTCCACAGCGAGTCCGCCAAAGGTCCAGCCGCGCTACGACCTAGACCTGGACGCCAGCTACGCTAAGGTACGGCTAGTTACTCTAAGGTACGGCTGGCTACGCTAAGGTACAGCTAACTACGCTAAGGTATGACTGTAATCTGGAACAATTGGCCCTTTAAGAACATTCAAGATGTTGATGTGGAACTAAATGAAAATGTGTCTGACCGCTCTGACCCAAAAGGAAATGGTTCACTCACATTGACTCACCTTTGACCCCTCTGACTCCTGCTGTTGTGCTGCAGACTTTTGCTGGAGATGTGGGCCATTTGTGGAAAACCTCAGAGTCTCTGCTGGTTTATCAGGAGCTAGTGAGGAAAGGAGTTAGAGGATTGATGTGAGTGTGACTCCTACGGTGGCCTGGAAGGCCCACGCTGCAGCGTGTTGCCAAACATGCGTGTGCTGTAACGTGTTGATCCTCACAGAGAGCTGATGAAGGAAGACTACAATGAAATCCTGCACAAGAAGTCTGAGGTTTTCCGCCTGTGCAGCATCTGCACGCAGCAGCTGGAGAAGGCAGAGCACCTGTGAGTCTGACCCGCTGGAACCAGAACCAGAGCCGGCAGGTCCAGCTCTGTGACTAACTGGAGGCATGTTCTGCTGCAGGTTGGAGGTTCTGATGCAGGCCAACATGCTGACCTCGGAGTACGAAGACATCGCTGACATGCACAAGAAGGCCCTCAGGGTGAGTCCTCTGGCTTCCAAACTAAATATTTAACTTATTAACTCAACTAAATATGTAGATTAACTCAGAAACCTGGTGTGGCAAGAGAGGCGTTTAGTGGTTTCCATCTGCAGTTTCATGCTTTGGATCTTTAAGGGAAAAATCTGATTAAAATGTGTGAATTAGTTTTGCTCTGAATGTTCTGGACTGAACTCAGACATTATTTTGTGAATCTGTCACAGTGGTTTATAAACTAGTCATTTATTTCATATGCATGGACAGTTTGCATTTGTTGTGGATCAATTGTGGAAAAAACTCAAAGTATGCAGTTTGGTATTTTTATTAGTGAAAAACTGAAAAATATCTACAATATCTCAAAGACTTGAACACATAGTTCTGTATCCCAGAGGGAAATCTGTGGGTTCTGATTGGTCGGGCTGCGGCTGCCGGTCCATTCAGGTGGTTCTGTGTAGGCTGTTGGATTTCTGGTTCTGGTTCTGATTGGGAATGTCTCTGCAGATCTCGAGTTCTCTGGATCCCATCGAGAGAACAACGCAGGACGTCAAGAGCAAGTTCCTGCCTGGAGGGGTTCTGACCGACAGCTGGACCCAGCAGGTCGGGACGCACCCCGAGGACAGGAAGTAAGGCTGCAGGGGGCGGGGCAGGCGGGGCGGGGGGGGGGGACGGG